TATTACTGCATTCGAGTACATTAGGAGTCCTTCATTTATCACTATTCATACGCCGGGATCTCATTTGGTATTGCACTACACCTGACGACGCCTTCTTCAACAATCGGCCGTCGGCTGCGAATTTGGTTAAGACTAAGGGAGCGCTCGGCATCTCATTCGCACTCTTTGGCACTACATTTCTCTTCATTAACAGCCACTTAACGGCTCATCAAAACAAAGTAAAGGAAAGAATAGAAGAATATATAAAAATAAGCGAAGCGTTGAATTTGCCAAAGAATTTACGTCCACTGAATCCACGATATATGAGTCGAGACGTGACCGCGAGGTTTGACTGTGTCTTCTGGTTTGGAGACCTTAACTTTCGTTTAGAAATCTCTGGACAAGAAATGACAAACATTATCAATAGACCCACAAATGTATTGAATGTCTCGTTGGATAAGTTTAAAGAGACGGATCAGTTGACAAATGTGATGAGCAGAGGACTAGCATTCAAGGGGTTCTATGAGTCTTCTTCGCCCAGATTTCCTCCGACTTATAAATTTAAATACGGATCCAATGATTACGATCTCGTCAGCCAAAGAGTGCCCTCTTTTACCGACAGAATCTTATACCGATCTAAACAGGTCTCTCATATAAGTCCTTTACTGTATGATTGGGTGCCGCAAATGGATTCATCAGATCATAAGCCAGTATTTGCTTTATTTGATGTCCAACTGAAGCCCGGGAGGGATGACATCAATCGTCTAAATGCGGGCTCTTTTAACAGAACTGTTTATATCGAAGCACTCAAGAGAAGAGTCCACGAAATCGACCCCAACTACAGGAACGACAGTCTGGTCTGTAATTTAATGTAATCGTTGACACATACGGGTAATTGTTTATATGTTTTCATATAGAAATAGCATATCATTTATTTATTACTTTTAATTATCTATTGATATATTTATTTATAAAACCAAATAGTCATATAATTTTCTTTAATTCATTCTCCATTAAACATAACAGAGAATTTACATTATATTTTTAAATTATTATAACAAAACTTATTTATTCAGTATTTTTATATGTAATATAATAAAAATAATTTATTTTGGAATTAATTTTATAACATAAAAATTGTAATAAAAATGACGAAATTATAATTTATAATTCTGCTAAACATTAAGAGTAAGTATGAATGTATAACAATGTATAACTTATAATATTTGTACAAAACTTATTCTGTATTATTATTTGTTGTAAGAACTTATTTTTATGAAGAAACTATAAATATAACACTTTATTGTTTGATAATACTGTATATTGTAATTAGTAGTCAATTTTTAACATTTCAATATGGTTGAAAATATAGAATACGGTTTAATAGGATATATAATATTTATCATATCGTTAGTACCATTTAATTATCAATTGTTATACTATTTTATTGTACACTTAATTATGTATTTGTAAAACAATTAATTATTTAATAAACAATGAAATGTCAAAACAATGATTCGTTAAGATTTCAACGAATTATATTTGTTACTACAGTATAATGAAAATTAAGGAAATGAAGTGACCTTGGTAGTTACATAAATCAGTCAATTAGTGCTTTTATTGTTAAACTCGCAACAAATACTAACTAAATGGTTGAAGGCCTCATCAATTCCGGTGCCTTCCTTAGCACTGGTCTCAAAATATCGCATTTTATGCTTTTTGGCCAATTGTTGAAATTAGTGCTTTTATTGTTAAACTCGCAACAAATACTAACTAAATGGTTGAAGGCCTCATCAATTCCGGTGCCTTCCTTAGCACTGGTCTCAAAATATCGCATTTTATGCTTTTTGGCCAATTGTTGTGTGTCTTCACTCCGCACGACAACCCTTTCCTCCAAATCTATTTTGTTTCCTAATATAATTCCGTTCACTCTTTCCTTCGACATGTCTTTCACCAAATCTGATAACCGGTTATGAAGTGAAGTGAGTGTCTCTTCATTCGTCACATCGAAAACGGCGATAATTAGCGCACTATTGTTGGCGCAAATGGTTTCAAGTATTTGTCGATAGAAATCTTTTCCCGAACAGTCGTATAGATATAACTCCACCGTTTGATCACTGCTTTGAGTGAATTTCTTCGATGAAATCTCAATACCTGTTGTCATTGAGTACTTGTTGGGCAACTGATTGGACGAATTTGTCAGCGCTTTCACTATCGCTGTCTTTCCAACCGTCGAATCGCCGACTATTAGACATTTATTCCGATATATATTAACCATTTTGTTATTTCAATTGTCATTAAACGAGCTTAAAGTTATTGTTTTGTATTGTTTTGTGAACCAAATCCCATAGCAACTCAATATTCACATTAAATAATGCATAAATATTACATTCAAAGAATAAACATTAAATTTTATTGTAAAATTCGTATGAAATATAATGGCTGGACATTAAATTCAAAATTTAATGCTTTAAATAACATTAAGAATAGTTTATTTCTTCACAAGTATTCAATAAATTTCAAGCATATTCTCCACGAAATACAAATACATTTTTGTCGGTTTCGTGTAATTTGATTGAGTCTAACGTTACGTTTGGCGGAAGCCTTTCGGCGATTACTTTCCAGATATAAACCGATATATTCTCAGCGGTGCTGACGATATCGTTGTCGCGAAAGTACGGCACGTCTTCGTCGATGTTCTTGTGGTCCAAACTCTTCATCACTGTTTGGGCAATGATTTCATTGAGAACAGCGATATCCAGAACCATACCAGTGATCGCATCGACAGTCCCTTTCAGAGTGATCTCTGCCGTATAGTTGTGTCCGTGAACTGCATTGCATTTGCCATAAGTTTGACTATTTGTTTGCACATCAAGTGCTCTACTATTGAGCCGATGAGCCGAACAGAACTTCTCTATTCGTGTCAAATAAACCAATGGTTTCAACGATTGTCTATCAGTTGACGACATGTTCACTGTTGAGCCCTTCAAACACTCTGTGAGCCAATGTATGGCAAAAACATGTGTTTATATAACAATTGAAAAATACGCATAACTTTACAATTTGTTTGATTAGCGAAACATGTGTTGAGTTTCGCATTTAAAGGCACATTAAATGACTGATAAATTGAGGGCAAAATAAGTGCGGAAACGGGTCTCCAAACTGTGCTGAAAGTCCCCCCGAATGACACTTCAGCGCAAAACAAGCCCTCAATAGTGAGTGACGTAAGCATTGGCTGTGAATGACGTCTAAAAGTGAAGACATATTATTGAATGAATGCTTCACTCATTCAATCACTCAATCATTTAATGAACACATATTTCCCGTTAATTGTTATTTAATTTAATTATATTTTATTAATTTGGTTACCGATTGGAAGCGATGGCGAGTCCGCGAACCCGAAGAATACTCCAAGAGCTGAGACCGAAGGACGAGAACAATGTAAGACAATATGGGATATGTTTTGGTGACACGTCTTTACCACTAATTGATTGTACGGTTTGTTTAGTACTGTTTTGAGTGCAAAGCCTGTAATCCTCAATGGGTTAGCGTTTCGTACGGCATATGGATATGTCTGGACTGCTCGGGAAAACATCGCGGACTCGGTGTCCATCTCAGGTCTGACCACAACACAGCTGTTCCGCACAATTGGCGTCATATTTGCAATGATATGTTGTATTGTCTTCTTCTCAATGATAGCTTCGTTCGGTCCGTAACTATGGATAAGTGGAAAGACATTGAACTCCAGAAGATGAAAGCGGGCGGCAATCGCAGGGCTAAAGACTTCTTGGAATCGCAGTCCGATTGGGATCTATCGCTGCCATTGAGTGAGCGCTATAATACTCGTGCGGCCGCTCTATATAGAGACAAAGTATGGATCATGTCTTGGAAATGATTTACTAGTTTTGTTATCCATTATCTAATTGTTAGATATCAACGGAAGCGACGGGAAAGAAGTGGTCGGTCGACAGTTCTTCGGCTAAAGACTACACTTCGCGCATAATCCCGAAGCACTCCTCTAATAGTAACTCGAATTCAACGACCGTTTCGTCGAAATCAAAGAGTACTGATTGGGATGAAAATGAGTGGACGTCTAATAGTTATCAGAGGTTTTGTTAATTAATTATGAGTTCATTTCAGAGTTCGATAACTATTTGTTTTATTTGAAATTCAGTTCTGATTTACAAGAAATCAATCGTCAAAAGGAGGACTTCTTTTCTCGAAGACAACAGGAGAATATGTCGAGACCTGAGTATGCAATCCATTTGTGATAACAATTGCTTTCATATATTATAATAATTGATTTAATGCTCAGGGGTTTGGCTCCGAGTCAGGGCGGACGCTATGCCGGGTTTGGCAATACACCGAATCCTCCCCGAAGTCAATCAGATTACGGACTTCCCAATGCTTTCTCTTCGCTTTCAACTGTAATTACGGTCTTATAATGAATATATTAAAAATGAAGTGTATTATCCATTGTTAGGGATGGTCTGCAATTGCTTCAAACGCCACTAAATTGGCCTCAAAGGCATCCGAAAGTGTAAGTCTATTACATCGACAACTCTTTGTTAACAATTATAGATTTTGTTATTACTTTTATTTATTTATTATTTATTTTCTTTGGTTTTTATATTTTATTTTGTTTGACGTTTTGCACGATTAATGTAATGAACAAAAGGCCATAAAGTTTGGGTCAATTGCTTCAGAAAAAGCCACTGAAGTGTCGGGTTCTGTGAACCAAAAGGTATTTTTAAAAAGGGATTCAAAGATATTGTTTTTTGTTTCCTAAACCCGAATGTATTATTTGAATGTTTGTTGATTTGATTTAAATTAAGTGAACGTTAAATTAAAATTAGGTTAAAGACGGGACTTTAGTTAATGACTTGCAAACACAGGTCTCTGTCTTGGGTTCGAAGGTTTGTGTAGAAAATATGTACCAAATATTAGATTAACTGTAATATCAATTGTACAACAGTTTGCAGATATGGGCAAAAAAGGTTGGGGAGAGATGTCCTCACTATTCACGCAAAGATCCCAATACACGGATCCAAACGCCGAGAATAGTTACGACAATAGTTATCAAAACACTGGTTCTTATCATTCGGAAGATTTGTTCAGTTCTTCGTCGTCGTCGTCCAATTCAACGCCTAATCACACGGCAAACAGACAGTCGAGGAATACCAACGAATCATCCAATCTATTGAAAGAGTCTTCGCCGCAGCGTTCGGCCAAAAGCAGTCCAAAACCCGTACACAATATGGATAATGGCATCAGTAAAGAGGAACAACTCTTAGACTTCGGGAACTCCGAAGTGAAGCCCAAGAAGAAGACCACTTCTGGGAAGACAACCGATTGGAACGATTGGGATGACGACGCGTGGACTAAGTTGGAGGTCGAGGCGCCCAAGAAGTCCACCAAAAGGAGCTAAAATGTATGAAAGTTAGGCAACAATTTATGATAAATAATAATAATCACAAATTTCACCAAATCATGAACTTATGGACAAAAAGTACTATTAATTCATTCCTTTTATTGAAAAACAATTTTTATCCTTTTATTTACGAAACAATTAACAGTAATATTAATATTTGTGTCGAAAATAATTATTTTATGAAAAAACAAAGTGTTGGCAAAGAATATCAAATTATAAGTCTTTCTATTATTGACTCTTCAATAAAGTTTATTATATATATTGTCATTACGTTTGTCCGCTTGTAATCAATTCAAACCACTGTCGCAGCGCTTCTCCCATAACGACTGGCAAACCATTTATGTCTCGCAATAGGATATAGAACTGAAAGGGAAACCTTTCCATATATGACTCGATCTTCACATTCCCGGCGCCGCTGAAGATCGGCACTCGTATGTCGAGTATTGAGTCCTTGTTTAAGGGATTGTCGATCACAACAAACACCACAAAAATACCCAATTCTTTCATTTTTCTGATTGATTGTCGAACGCGTTGCTCGCCTTCGCTGTAAATACCTCTTCCATCCGATACTATAATAAGCAGTTGAGAGATGTCTTCCTTTTGAGAACCAGTCGGTCGTCTCGAAGTTGACATCAATTGTTCCACAGATTGTAATAGATCTGCGATTCGGGTCTCTTTTTGCTCAAAAGTTAACTATTTGTATGAAAAGAAAATACAATATTTTTAATTCTCTATTTTGAGTGAAACTTCAATAAGTGATGACTTACTTGTGTGAGAAGATTAGCGCCTGTATTCTCATTGAAGGCCTCATTGAAGTGATGCAATAAGCGAACGGTCTGTCCGAAGCTCATGATTGCCAGTTCTCCCGCTTCCAGAAGAGTCAACGATTTGCCCAAAAGAGCCAACGATTCGAACGCCAATTGTTTGGATTTGTTGTCAGACATACTCGAAGAGTCGTCGACCGCTATTACGATCTGATACTGTCTTTTACTGGCTTTAGTCCTTCGCAACCAAATCTTGTCTTTTCTGAAATCACTGGCAATATATGCGATCACTTTCCGCATATTCAGACGCTTTCCAGTCCTGTAATCGCCTCTCAATTTAGCCATTTTTGTCGGCTCTAACACCAGTTGTAAGCGTTCGCACAACTCGTACACCAGTGGAAACACTTTGGCCTCGCATTCCTTCCACACATCGATCACTGAATTAATGTCCAAATTATTAATCGTTTTAAACGAGAGATCGTCGAAACGTTTCCCAATTAAAGTGTCGTCCGATTCGTGGATATCATCAGAGTTTATATGCGTGTGAAATGTGGACTCATTTCCTCTTTGGACAGTAAGAGTAGAAATAATTTCTCCTTCCGTTTCCATCGCCTCTTCAGTCATGTCTTCTTTATTTCCGTCGTTTTTATTACTCGATTTCGTTTGTGTTTTCTCTGACTTAACGTCAATAGGTTTTAAGGTATCGATTAATTCACTCTTCTCTTCGATGTCCATCTCTTCGGGTTTATTCAAATCAATGTTATCCTTATTATCAGATTCGTTGTCATTATCTTTTTGAATCATTTTCTCGTCATTACTGGCGATGTCTATGGCTTTGTTATTTGCATCCAATATATTGTCGACGTGTCGATAGAGTTGTGATTCAATCATTTGATTCTTGGAATCGTTTTCATTGTTAGGATCGGCATTAGAAGTGCTCTCGTTTTCATTTGCCATTATTTTCTGTCGTTTAGCGCTCTTATCGTAATCGTCAGCCAAAGTGCGGCGCGTATTGTCTTTTCTCATATTTTGATTTAACTTTTCTTCTTTAAGTTCTTTCTCATCCAAAGCGGCAGAACTTTGCAATTGTTGTGACTCGGATTGAGTGGTGTTATCGCCGACCAATGAATTGCTAAATCCGTGCTGTTCTTCATTCTGTCCCGCATTTTGATCCGATTTTTGTTCTGTATTTTCTTCGACGCAAGCGTTGGAAGAATTGTTTTCATTTTCGACTGTCTTTTCGTCGGGTGTATTAAAAATCTGATCTTTAGTCGAATCCATTCCTTGACTGGGATTAGGCTTTGATTCCTTTTCTTCGGAAATATTCTCTTCCTTTCCTTCGTCTATGTCTTCAATTTCTTCCACTTTATTCTCTAAATCTTTAGATTTGTCCTCATTTTCATTGTTTTCAGTGTTTTCTTCAAATTCTTCTTCACTGGCATTCATTTCATCCAAATTCTGTTCTTCAGTTTCTGAATCACTCAAACCCGAGACTGATTTGTCGTCTTTCTGTTCTCCGGATTCATCGTTGTCTTCTTCATTGTCTTCGTTGTCATCCAATTCCATATTTTCGGGTAATTCTTCCTTTGATTTATCAATCCTTGGCTCCAAATCTTTGTAGGGATCGATGCGTTCGTCTTCATAGTCATCGCCCTGTAATTCATTCTCTTTATCATTCATTTCCAATTCATTCTCATTATTCTCTTCATCTGATTTCTCGTCAGAATTTTTGTCTTTATTAAGATCTTTATTCTCATCGTTGGCCACAGTTTTGTTATCTAACGTATCCTTTCCTCCAAATCCAGTCTCGTCCTCACCATCTGTTTCATCAGAATCTGAATTCTCTTCATCGGAGCCCCAAATCTTTTCGTCCAAAACATCCGAATTATTGTCGACGTCTCCCATTTGGTCCTCAAGATTATTATCGCTGTCATCGCCATCTGATTCTTCGTCGTCTTCATTATCTCCTTTGGAAGGACTATACGCTTGTCCTTCAAAATCATTTTCCATTTCAATTCCATTGTCTTCTTCGTCTATATCTTTTTCTTCATTCTCGTCTCCCTTTCCCTCTTCTTTGGCGCCTTCTTTAAGAGCGTCTTCGAGTTGGTCTTCGCTCTCAATCTTATCGCTCACATCTTTAGTTCCCTCTCCCTCTCCAAGACCTCCGTCTTCAATATCTTTTAATTCCGTTCCCATCTCTTTATTATTGGTTTCATCGCTCGGTTCTTGTGGTAAACAAAACCCGTTTTGAATCAAATCAGAAAAGAGCGACAAAAGAACTGAAAGCAACTTATTATAAGTCCGCAGAGAAGACACCGAAAGGGTTATAAAATACTGCAATGAATTGACATAAATCTCCAAAAATGGATAAATATTTTTCAGAATTTGAGCTCTGAATTCAAGAATTGACATAACTTTGGCTGAGTTTTCGTTTGGTTCGCAAACAGTATTAATTAAATTTATTAATTTTGAAAACGCCTTAAAAGTGAGTTTAATTTTCAGATCTTTCAGTGTATTCTTTAATTCGCAAGAAGTGAACAAATTTTCCAATAAGTCTTCCTTTGATTTTTCAATATTTGATTCTTTGAAAGATTTGTAAATCTTTTCAATCGAAGACAATATAATTTTTATTGTTTTTATGGACTGTTTGGCACTCATGTCGTCAATATTTTCGTCAATAGTATTCGGGATATAATTTTGTAAATTAATATCAAATTTGGTTTTCAATTCAATGGATTCGTTGAACAAAACTAAAAATTTATTGTTTAAATTCAAAGCACAAAGTGTTTGATGAGAATAACACTCTTTCAGTTCATTCATTAAAGTGAATAAAGTGTTGTAAATATCTTTTAGATTATGAAAATCTGTCAATGATTTAACATCACATTCAGAGCTCAATCTAAATGATTTCAGTTTCACAATCAATTCATTGAATTTTATATTATAGAAATCCAATGAATATCGCAATTCACTAATATTTTGATCGCAAATATCTGGCATTTGTTGTGTGGAAAGTAACAAAACTGGTTCTTCAATAGTAGTGCTCAAAGAGTTTAACAAATCAATTGAACGCAATAGGAATGACACGATTCTTACGACTATATTCTGTGCAAATGTTGAATATGTAGTGAATTCTTGTTTAGGGATTATTAAATCATCGGTTTTAATAAATTGGCTTAAATTTTGTTGAATAGATTTGAGTTGAATGTAGAAAAATATATTTTCAGAAATGGTTTGCCTTATGTCTACCACTTTCTTGACGAGTTGTGCGGAAAATCCTTTAATCCGGTCAACGCTTCCAATCGATAACTGCTTGTTTGGACTCTCGAGAGACAAACGAAGAGTTGCGAAACGGGCCAAACATTTATAAAAATATTTATTACAAGAACTGATATCATCTGTTAATTGTACGGAAAGGCCATGAGTTTGATTGGTGTCGTAATTAAGAGGACATGTCGTCATAATGAAGTCATTTACATCAATATTTGGATCAATGACTAAACCCTTACGATAAGAGAGACCGAAATGTGTTAAATGTTTAAAGAATTCACTCAAAGCGCGACGTTTTCTACTTTGAATATGATTTGCGCTTTTCTTCCACTTTGTTTTGTCTTTGATATCATTCGGGACCTGAAGTTCACTCAACTCTTTCACACCAATTATTATATCGGATGACATGCTCTCAATGGCGTTGATTTGTTTCACAATAAATGAAGAGCTTTTAACAGTCTTTTTAATTAAATGTTTCGATTTTTTAGCTAAAAATGCACTTCTGTTCAGAAAATGGCATTCACTTATCAATTGCGTTATTGGCTTAATATCTATATCTTTGTGAACAAAAATCTCATCCCTTTTTAAAGTCAACCTCCAGTTGGAAGTGATGGCATTGTTTTCGTTGCTTTCAATAACTAGACACAAATTGACGGTCAAATTGAGTTCCGATCGGTATTTCTTCATATATTTATACAACTGTTTATGCGATTTCTCGACCGCACTCTTAACGGACCAAAAGTTATTTTCACTCCATTTAGTAATCTTTACGAATTCTTTCACCTCTTTTTCAATGGGTTTTCTGATATTCATTAAAGCGTTTTCAATGTTTGGCACAAATTGCAGATAAAATGTGTGCAAATTTTGAAGAGAATTATAAAGAATATTGCCATTAGTTTTGTTGTCTATGGAGTGAATATGAGAGGCAAAAGTTTGTAAGAGATTGAGTCGGACTCTAAATTCGCCTAATTTTGAATTTTCAATAAACTTTTTGATTGAAATAATAAATTCTTTGATTTCATTGGGATTGAAGTCGTTGTGTGAACTGTTCTCTATAAATGCAGTGATAGTTATATACAAATGAAACCAAAATAAATTCATTTGTTTAGTTTCAATGTCTTTATTCACTGAATCGAGACATTCGGACCAACACTTGAGCTCTAATTTTCTCCAACTAATCAACAGTTGTGTGATTTCATTGAGATTATCGACTAAACTGATGCCTTTGTGGGCCATTAGCTGCCAATCCTGTGACGCCTGGAGTAACACTTCTAAACCGGTGGCAAATTTAATGAGTGGCTCTTTTGAACTCAAATCAAATATTTTTTGAATGATTTTTAGTAATTTGATAAGAATTGGATGATTTTCAAATTGAGGCAATAATTCGGTTACAATTCTGTCTTCCATTGCCTTCAGAGACTTAAAACAAAGACTCGTTTCATAAAGAGATGAATTGTGATATATATTGAAACAATTGTTTGAATTGTCTTTTATATCGGCAATCGATTCATTGCATGCAATAAGCGGTCAATACAACGCAAAGCATCTCAAAAAAGATATTTCACTTATTGAACAAATGTTGCAAAAATTATCAATTGATGGCAACCAATCAGAAGACAATATTGATATCATTGATACAATAAAAAGACGCAAATTAATGGCAGGCAATCAATTGGAGCTCTTATTCTTGTTTTCACTGATTTATTCAGAAGTGTCTTATTTTAACAGCAAAACTAATAATCTGTACGAACACTACATTAAGTTAATTGAATCCAAATATTTTACATTAAATCCAATACACATTTCGTGCATAACTTTAGCGCAAAATTCCGATAAAATATCCACTGATTTAATGTTACAACACTTATCGGCTTTAAATCAAAACTTGACAATTAATAAAGTTTTGAATTATTTATCCATTGATTTGGAAGAAAATAATTCAATCAAAACATATAAAGACGATATATTTGAAGACAAATTATTACAATTAACCGCTGATTGTGCGCCACTTATATCGTTGTCATCGAGTTATCTGCTCTCAAATAAACACATATCCATTGGTTTATTATCGGAGAAAATGTCTCAATTCGTGAGTTTTAAGCAATTTTTGACTACGAATTACAGACAAATCTCTGACACCGACAGCAGTTCACTGACTAAACACGAGTTTGAATTTGCGAAACAATCCAAAAGCTGTAATCGCGTTTTGTACACGTGTTTGAGAGGGCAATTCTCTGTATCAAATTCACAATGGTGGCTACCGAAGTTTCTTGAGTAATTAATATAGAGCTGAAACTAAGTGCTTTGATTTCTTCCATTTGACGAAAGCGTTGTTTTAATTTTTATCGGTTACATAACATCACAAATATTGTGTCCGACATTTCCAATTGATCCGATCGAACGAATTAATTGCAAACTCAATCACTATATACTTGATCTCAACTTAATAAACGCGGAAATCGCTGTCCGCACAGCTCTACCCCTTATGAAGTCAATTCACTCATCGGTTGAGTCGTCCGATCACTCGTTGCTGCGAGAACTTATTGAAAAGAAACGGCGCTTAGAATTGAAAATCAATAAATTTGAGACAAATCTTCCGCATCGCTCTTCAATTGCCGACTATTTCAAACTCAAAGCCGATTGCAGTCACTTCTCCGATACTGTCATCAATAAGAAAACAATAGATTATTATTCAAAGAAATTCATTTCGTGTTATAGAGAATCGACGACTCAGAGGAATATAAGAACTGTAATCGAAGAATCACTCAATTATCAGTCGACCATCACTTCATTTATGCGCAAAATTCAATTGTCTTATCCATTATATCACGATTTGATTAACTCATTCCTTATTGGAGTTTCCATTTTATTGAAAGGCTTCAAAAACGCAACATTTTATTTGCAAAATCAAAATTTAGTGATAAATGAGTTGAAATTTAAATCCGTGACAGAAATGAATAAAACCATTAAAATTATGGGCAATTTTTGCGATACAAACTTGCCTTCATTTATAGCCAACTATTTATGCACTTCAGATACAGTCAATAAAATTAGCAGATTTTCAAGCACTTCGCGATTGAATTTTGAGAGAATTATGTCAACTCTTTTGAGATCCGCTTTGATTGAGATTCAAAACGAAATGTCTCTCATTTATAACGACTCACTTGTATTGGTTTCGTTGCGTATATTTAATGTGTTCGTCAAGTGTTGGCAAAACGTGAGAGAAGAACAAGAATTGAAGAAATCAGAAGAAGAGGCGCTCTTTGAATACAGAATGAAAACCGAGTGCTCGGAGTTGTCCGAAGACGAGAGGGAGAGGCGCCAAATGGAGGCCATATTTCCTAAAAGTAATGAACAATACTTTGATTCAACGGATGAGTTCACACTCGACGACACCATTGAAGTGAATTTAAGTGAATCCAAAATAGAAGACGAGATGTTTTCCGATATAATAAGCAGTCATTTAAAAATTGTTGAAATTATGGACAAAAGCGAAAAGTTTGTGCCCGACTTCCGAAAGGCATACCTTTTGCGGCATTCAGTGATTTCTCAAATAACCAAACGTTTGGGTGTTTTCTTTGATTACTCTATTGATAGCGAACTCATTGACGGAGAGTTGATTGCATGCAATGAATCGATTGCCGATATAAAAGACAATTCAAACAATTGTTTCAATATATATCACAATTCATCTCTTTATGAAACGAGTCTTTGTTTTAAGTCTCTGAAGGCAATGGAAGACAGAA